TTAGGAGAAATAAGGAAATTGAGCCAGGGCAGTGTTTTTAGGGCAAGGCATAGCTGTCTGTAGCTAAGGAAGGATTGATATGCCACATTTGTTCCACCCACGGACCCTCAGGTTCTAATTTTTCAAATGTTACATGTGGTTTTGTCCAGAACTTTTGAGAATTTTTCTTTAAAATTTCACAGGGAAATTTCACAGCATTTATATGCACATTTCACCATGTGTATGAAATGTGAATGAATGTGTGTGTGTGCAATTTTGCTTAATATACAAATTTGGTCTAAGCAATTTTTACAATATAATGCATAAACATAATTCACTGATATGTATATTTTTGTGCCTTTTTGCCCATGAACTCTATTGTAAACTTCAGAGAATGGAAATTTGGAAAGAGAACTAAGCCTCAGTTCTCACCGTGTTCAGAAATTTGAAATCAGCTTATATTGAAATATTAAATGACTGAATTTTTCTCACATTCTTTCTTGTAGCTATTTAAAAACCCTCAGAAGCTTTTGCAATCCTTAAGATCCTGTTATTGACAAGGCATGTGCCAGAATCGACGGGCTGGCCCACAATTCTATGTACTGTTGATGCCAAAAAGTTGCTTCATTAGGCTTATGTAAATTTAATTATTGCACCTAGATGTGTATAGGGCAGAAGTTATCCCAATGAGACAGTTTAAAATGTAAGTTTGTAAGCCGCCCCGAGGCTTCAGTGAATGGGTTGGCATAGAAATTTTCTTAATAAATAAAAAATAAAAAATAAATCTTGCTGTGTGCCCAGTACAGATGTAGTCTGGCAAGTGGAGAGTTAATGAGCATGTACATTCTTGGTAGCCTTTGCATCCCGTCCTGCATACAGTCTATTAATTGCCTTTGAACCATACAGCTGGGGCTTCCATTCATACTCTGAGTGCAGGAAATCCACTACTGTATCTCTTCTGATAGGTGGCTGTTCCTGATCCGTTAGAACTCTAATATCTCCAGAAAATTAGAAAGGTCATATCAGAATATGATGTGGACGCATAAGGCAGCCACTTTTCTGAAGCTATGCAGGCATGAAACCCCATGTATGACTTCTGGAGTTCCATGATGTTAGAAAGGAAGAATGTAAATGTTATCAATAAATAAATCCAATTCTGTTGTAGAACTGATCAAGAAGTTCTTTATTTTGTGGAAGTACCAGTTGACTCCTCTTTGTTTCTGCTGATATTGCAAACGGTTTCACAAAGCTATTAATCTAATTCATGCTGTTTAAACCATTTCTAACCAATTTTGGATCTTACTGAACTAAATGGGCTAAGTGATGGGCTACTTACTCTTGTATTCTGTGGTGTGATATTAAGTGGATAATTACATGAATGAAAGAAATCAAATGCACCCCCATACCTGGCTGATGATGGCTGGAGAGAATCATAGAAACATAGAAAAAGAGCTAGTCAGAAGGGACGTCCCGGCCATCTAGTCTGACCCCCGGCTCCAGCCGGCTCCACTCACAACATGCCACCATGTGCATGCCCAGCCTGTCTTTGAACACCTGCACCGATGGGGCCTCAACCACCTCTCGTGGAAGCCCATTCCACACCCTCGGGGTCCTAACTGTCAGGAAGTGCTTCCTGGCATCTAAATGGAACCTTGGCTCCCTGAGCTTGGCTCCGTTGGAGCATGTCCTGCCTTCCTCTGCAGGGAAGAACAGGTCTCTACCCATCTCCAAGTGACATCCCCTCACATACCTGTATGTCACCAACAGATCCCCTCTGAGTCTTCACTTCTCCAGGCTGAAGAGACCCAGTTCCCTCAGTCTTGCCTCGTACCCCATCCCCTGCAAACCGGCCACCAACCTTGTGGCCCTACGCTGCACTGACTCCAACCTGGCTATATCCTTTCTGTAATGAGGGGCCCAAAACTGAGCACAATACTCCAGTTGCAGGTGCACCAGAGTTGTATAGAGTGGTAGTAATACCTCTCTCGATGTAGAAGCCACACTTCTGGCTATGCAACCAAGGGGGGTGTTTGCCCTCTTGACCACCGCATCACACTGCTGACTCATGTTTAGCCTGCAGTCAACCAGTACCCCGAGGTCCCTTTCACAAGTGCTGCTCTCCAGCCACTTGTCACCTAACCTGTACTTATGACACCTATTCCTATGCCCCAAGTGCAAGACCACATTGAACGCCATCCTGTTGTCTCCTGCCCACTTCCATAGTCTGTCCAGATCCTTTTGGATCTGGAGTACCTGCTCCTCAGTTGTGGCCACTTCTCCAGTTTTAGTATCATCTGCGAATTTGATCAGCAGACTGTTCACCCCTTCTTCCATGTCATTTATGAAAAGATTAAACAGGATCGGCCCCAGGACAGAGCCCTTGGGGACCCCACTTGTCACTGGCCACCATCCCAATGATTCCCCACTAATGGTTACCCTCTGCTTTCAATCATCACAGTGTATTAAATGGTTATGAACCTTTGTTGTGATTAGGCACATGTTCAAGTGTATGCCCACAAATGTGTAAATCAGTATATTCCTTGGATGCATTCACCATGGAGGGTTTCTTAGAATTCTCAGAGAAATAGTCATTTCATCTATCCCCAGACACATTGATTTAAAACTATTTTGGAATGCATATTGAAAAAACCACTACAAAATGGTTTGGTAAATACAGAATTAGACAACAGTGACCCAGCTGTTGTTGTTGTTAGTTGCGAAGTTGTGTCCAACCCATCACAACCCCATGGACAACATTCCTTCAGGCCTTCCTGTCCTCCACCATCCCCCGGAGTCCACTTAAGCTCACGCCAACTGCTTCAGTGAATCCATCTAGCCACCTCATCCTCTGCCGTCCCCTTCTTCTTTTGCCATCTATTGTTCCCAGCATTAGGTTCTTCTCCAGTGAGTCCTTCTTTCTCATTAGGTAGCCAAAGTATTTGAGTTTTATCTTCAGTATCTGGCCTTCTAAAGAGCAGTCAAAGTTGATCTCCTCTAGGACTGACTGGTTTGATTGCCTTGCAGTCCAAGGGACTCGCAGGAGTCATCTGCAGCACCACAATTCAAGGCCTCAGTTCTTCGGCGCTCAGCCTTCCTTATGGTCTGCCTTTCACAGCCACACATTGCAACTGGGAAAACCATAGCCTTGACTATACACACTTTTGCTGGCAGGGTGATCTCTCTGCTTTTTAGTATGCTGTCTAGATTTGCCATAGCTTTCCTCCCAGGAGCAAGCGTCTTTTAATTTCTTGGCTGCAGTCCCCATCTGCAGTGATCTTGGAGCCCAGGAAAATAAAATCTGGCACTACCTCCATTTCTTCCCCTATTTATTTGCCAGGAAGTGATGGGACCGGATGCCATGATCTTAGTTTTCTTAATGTTGAGTTTCAAGCCAACTTTTGCGCTCTCTTCCTTCACCCACATCAAGAGGCTCTTTAGTTCCTCTTCACTTTTTGCCATTAGAGTGGTATCATTTGCATAGCTGAGGTTGTTGATATTTCTCCCAGCAATCTTAATTCCAACTGGTGATTCATCT